AGAGAGAGAGAAGTCAGCAAGAACATCGATCGACTGACTCTACCCGGTCCTGGGCCAGGGCCTGGGCTACGGTCTGGGCTCAGCTAGCGCGGCACCGGCCCGGCCTGCTAGCCCGGCCATGTGGAGGGGGTCTGGGGGCCCCGGACATCTCTCACACCTGCAGGGGTCGAGGGGTGGAGCGGGCGGCGGGACGCGTGGCGACGGTCGGCCCGGACAGGCCGGTCAGTCTGCGGCTGACAGCTGCGAGCGCCGCTCTTGATTCGCCCGACAGAACCCCGCAGTTTGGAGACGTCCCACTTCTCATACCACTCCATTGGGGAAGGTCGGGAGAGGAGGCACCCTGTGCGGCCGCACACCCTGTTTGTCAACAACCATTGTGGAGTGAAACAATGTGTCGCACTCAAAGAGTTCACAGAAAGACGGACAAAGGGCAACCTTGAAAGGTGTTTGCGTAACACCTGCCGAGCCGACACCTGCCCTGGCGCCTTGTGCGCTGTGCGCCGTGCCCCCTGGCTGACCGGCTTGGAAACTATTAAGGCTTAAGGTTTGCCTACAATGTCGCGGCTGGTAGGTCGTAGGTCGCGGGCTCAGGCGTGAGTAGGTTTTGTAAAATGCAATTGGAAGGAATTAATAAATACAACTTGCCCATGACAGAGAGAGTTCAGGAGAACAAGCGTAACTGGCAGATAGGCAGTTACTCGAGTTCTCCGTGTATCCACTGGCGGGAGTTACTCTCTTGTTTATTTTTTCGGAGCCATCAACTTCACATGCAACTTCACGACTTAAACTTGTCCATTCAGGAAATAATTCAAAATAAACATTCGGTTCCGATGTTTATTCTAACGCCGACCCGACCCGGCCTCGCTCCGCCTGGCTCCGCCGAGGGAAACGCCTCGCAGGGAAACGCCTCGCGCGTAGCGGGCCGCCCGGCGGGGTAGGCAACGCGTGGCGCTGCGGCGCGCCGGAGCTCGGCGGGACTGCCTACCGACGAGGCGCTGAGCCGCGGGCGGGGCTCGGAGATGAGCCGTGCGGGCGAGAAGCGAGAGCTTTGCAGCGGGGAAAATAGGGAACCGGAGAAGGACACTGTAAACTTTGCAAACAATGAGTTGCGAGCAGTAGCAATTGAGAGAAAGACGTCCCCTCACCCCCTCCCTCTCTCTCTCTCTCTCTCTCTCTCTGTCCTCCATTCTCTTTTTGCGGACTCTTTTGTCTCGTATTCTTCCTTGGCTATCCCCCTGCGAGTTTGAGGGCGCAGCCGTACTCGCTCTTCGGCCTGGTAACCCAGTCGTTAGTTTTCCCGTGTCCGGCGGGCCTTGGCGAGGCGAGGCGAGGCTCCGGCTCGCCACAACTTGTGTGCACGTGACAGGTGGGGGTAGATGACGGCCAGCAGAGCCCGAAGCGCGCCGGCCTCGGTCACCCGGCGGCGGCCCGCGAACGAGGGAGCTCAGCCGAGTCGAACGGCCCGAAACCAGCTTAAAAAGTTGCCGCTCACACGGTCTTCACCCCCCTCCTCCTTTTCCACAGCCCCCACCCAACCCTTACCTCCGCACCACCAAGAAAGCGGGAGGGGGCTCAAGGTGGAAAAAAAACAACATGAGCCCGCAGAGGCGCCACACAACACCCGACCCGAGTAGACAAACAATCGACAGGAAAGTTCCATGTTGTGTTCGTTCATCCATCTTGTTCGCACGCCAGGAGAAGGGGGAACGCGGAGAAGAAGGGTGTAGAGGGGTGTACTGCACTGCAAGTATGTGGGGAAGGGTAGTTATCAATCACATCATTTTCGTCCCCGTGCTCCACCAAGCTAGCGGCCCGCGCTATCATGCCATCCACTTGAGATAACAGTGTTTGGCTCCCAGCGCGCCGTGTTTATAATCCACGCTAACTTTCAGCCCTGTAGCGGAGCGCGCCGAGCAGCGGCGCGGCGGGGGTTCGTCGGGGGTGCGGCGGGGGCGCGGTAGGGGCGTGGCGGGGGCGCGGCGAGGCGCGGCCCGGCGGACGAGGAAGGGCCTCTGGGCGGTGCGGTGGGTGGGGTGCCGGGGGAGCGCGTAGATTGGCACGATACCGAGAAAACTGCTCGGCGTCGTCGATAGCAGAATCTACATAATAAGTAAATTGGTGGCCTTATATTATGATGGTGATGCCGGCGGAGAGAGGTTTTTCTCCTGCAGGTCTGGCAGGCTTCGCACCCGCGCCGCTCTCCCCTCCCCGCCGCCCCCCGCCTCCGGAGACCCCCGTCTCCCGCACCACTTTATGCCCCCACCTCCCTTCTCGCCGAACCTGACTAAAAGGAGGGGGCCGAGTTGGGCGCATCTCGTGGCCCCCTTCTTCGCATTCCCTTTCCTCTACTTTGGCCGGGGCCGGCCAGTCAGCCAGTCTGGCGCATGAAAGATAGATTCAACAGACACTGATCTCCGACGAGACGGGGCGTGGCGGGGGTGTGGTGGTGTTGGTGGGGCGCGGTGGGGCAGTGCGTGGTGGGGTGGGGTGCGCAGGCGGTTGCAGGCAGCGGTGGGTGGCGGACGCTGCGAGGATGTCGTCGGGCCGACCCTCGAGGGATGACTCACTGCACAGGCGCGGAGCTGTCACAGGACTTGCGCCCCATCCCTCCCCTCTTCACTCACTTCCTGACTTAAACATCAAGGAAAAAGGGGATACCCTGAAAACGAAATAAATGAGCGTATCTATAATTTTCCATGCGAAGTATGATGAAGCCCTCTTTATACTATAGTTCATATCAAAGAATAATTGATTTTCATATAAAGTGAGAGTAAATGTGCGGAATGGTACAGCACGCCACCCCCGGCCCGGCGCCGCTCTGGTCTGCGGCCGTCGCCTCGCCCGAGCGAATTCATTAGTCAAACCCTCCATCGATCACACTTCTGTCGACGGGACCGTAGAGGCAAATAGACGACAAACTCTTTTTTTTTTTTTTTTGAGACTGATGCCATCATCCATTATTCACATCATTATTAATATTATTTTTTATTATATGTTCACATTGGCGTTCCCTGTTTCTCCACCCCAAAAAATGTGAAGGAGCAAATTCTTACTTTACTTCATTGGCTGAGCGTTAGCGAAAGCCCACTACTCCACTGACCGAAAAAGCTTCATTCTGTTCGATAAAAATATGTGCACCAGGCGCGTCGAAACGAACCGTGTTTCGTGAGATATCGCGAAGCCTGCACTGTTAACGCCGTGGTCGCCTAGCTTGCCAAAATGTTGGCAGCCCATTTTGAATGCCAAATTTTGGCCTCCTTTGGAATGGAGACCAACTT